CAAGGCCCCAGGGCACCCGGCCCAGGGCACGGCGGGCAGGCGTCTATTGAGGCAGCACACGCTCACTTAGTGGGCCTTCCTCCCCTCACCAGTGATCAGGGGCGGCTGGGAGACGCAGGGGTGAAGGCAGGGAGCCTGTTCTTGGGGGTTCGGGGTCCCTGTGTGTCTGCCCCAGGCCCTGGCACATCCACAGGATGAGAAGTGACAGTGGCCCCATTTTACAGATGAGGAAACCGAGGCTCAGAGGAGACAAGTCACTTCCCAGAGGTGCTGGGCCCTGGGCCCTGTCCCCAGTGCAGAGCAGCCCTTCATTTCCCCCCGCCCCCAGCCATCAGCTGAACACCATCCAGATCGGCACATGCACAGCGGGCCGCGGGTCCAGGCGGAGACAGGACGGGGAGAGGGCGAGTCAGGTTAGGCACCAGCCTGACTTGGGAACCGAAAGCAGCCTTCCCCGCCAGCTCCCACACACAGGCGAAGGCGAACGGGACGGGAAGGAGCGGCCTCCTCCTCCAGCCAGGGCAGCAAAGGTGTCGGAGGGGAAGGTGGGCAGGGGGACAGCACCCAGCTGCTGGCACAGGGCCTCGCCCAGGCCGCCTGCTAGCCTCGCCATTCTCCCCGGTGGTCTCATTCCTCTGAACCAAGAAACACTCTCTCCCCAGCAATGCTTCTGCCACCAGCTAAGTCAGACCCGCAGGGCACGAGCCTCGTCTCCAGTGGTGCCCTCGTGGCCGGGACGTCACATGGCACCGTTTCCTGCCGGTTCCGCAGCTCGGCTGGGTCCCCTGCCCTCTCCCTCACACTCCCATTCACATGGACTCACTGCTCCATCTCGGTGCGGGGCCGGATGGGTGCTGGGCCGCGCCAGCAGCCCACCAGGTGCGGCGGGCAGACTGGTACGCACTGGCCCGGCTTCAAGGGTTCCCCTGGCTGCCCGCCTCTCTGACTCGTGGGCCTGGCACTTTGGGGAAATAACATGACAGATGCCCATGTGTCCAAAGCAATATGGTCAGTAGATTTGCCAAGTTTCCAAGGCGACTAAATGCTGTGGCGGCTGGACTTCAGGAGGCCCAGGCGGGAGGCGAACGGCCCGGCCACCCAGGGCTGGGCACGGACAGAGAGCCAGAAACCCAAACGTCAAGGTTAGGCCCTTGAACCAAACAATCCTATTCGGGGAATTTTGCTAGACACAATCCGCAGGAATGAGAATATATGTACAGGTGCATATATACTCAGAGGAGATGCCTTGTTTTCATAGGGATAAAACAGGACTGTGTCGCTTGGGCAAGAGCGGGGGACGGAAGGCCGCAGCCCCATGGCCACGCCACGGGCTCGGCAGCACCCTGAGCACGGCCCCTGGGAGCTGGGGGAGCAGCAGGGGACCCAGCCGTGACGCCCGCGTGGCACGTACAGGGGACGGGCGGGCAACTGCACCAACACTGACCACGATTACTAAGGACAATCTAGTCGGGCGGGAAATACCCGGGAGAGAACCAGGCACCCGGCCCCGCGTCGGGTTTCCGTCTTTCACGTGGGCCCCGTCGAACCGCCAGCCCACCTGTGGTGCAGCTTCATGTCTGCAGAGCACCCGGCCCCAGAGGGCCGCGGGGCACCTGACTGTGTGGCGGAGACGCGCGTACCTTCTGGTCGAAGCTGTCTGGGGTCAGGTAGAAGTTGTGCAGCGGCACGAAGTAGTCCTCCAGCAGGCCCATGAGCAGAACCAGGTACACGCCGTCTGCAAACTACAGGAAACACGTGGTGACGCTGTGGCTCGCGCACGGAGCGGCACTGCTACATGTCCACTCAAGAGGAGGAACCGGGCCTGACCGGTGTGGCTCAGTGGTTCAGCATTGACCCATGAACCAGGAGGTCAGGGTTCAATTCCCGGTCAGGCCACATGCCCAGGCTGCGGGCTGGATCCGCAGTGTGGAGCGTGCAGGAGGCAGCCAATCAATGATTCTCTCTCATCATTGATGTTTCTGTCTCTTTCTCCCTCTTTTTTCCTCTCTGAAATCAATAAAAATACTTTTTTTAAGAAACTCTTCCTTCCTCTCCGAAATCAATAGAAATATATTGAAAGGGAAAAAATCATTACAAACAGCTGTGCAATGTGATCCAGTGCCATCTAGGAAATACATTTATGGACATAAAATACCTAGAAAAATGTCCATCGCACCGCGAACTACAGTGACCCCTGGAGAGGATGATGGAGGGACAGAGGGGAGGGAGGAGGGAGAGAGGAGGGAGGGTTTCTATCTGTCAGTTCATATACGTCTGCACCGTTAACCTCTCAGACAGCAGGTAAGCAGCGGCCGTGCGTGCACGTTAGCAAGGCGCTGAAATAATCAATGCATTCGCCCACAATCCACATGCAAACCGGGGGCGAGGACGGTGCGTGGGGAGGGAGGTCTGGAAGGAGCCCTGGCACAGATGGCATTGCGGGGATTTTCTTTGTTTTGCTTATCTGCCGTCTCAGACTTTCCGACAATGGACCTGAATTACTTTTTTAATTAGAAAAGCAAATGAGAAACTAGCGAGAGCGGAGTGAATGCAATCGGCCGGCTTCAGCGGATCAGCTGCGCGAGGAGCGGAGCCAGGCCTCGCGGCTCCAGATTCCGGCCGCTAATCCCGGGAAATGACATTGCGTCTTGATGCCCGCCGACTGCTGGGAACTCATCCCACGGTGCTATTTGCGTTTTGAGTGGGAGTAGGGGGGACCCTTGACCAATTCAGAGGTGAGCGATGCTGCCCCCCTCACAGCCTAAAGCCCCCATGTTCTACGCTGCGTTCTGACATCAAGGAAACCAGTCCGGGGATGTCATTCAGTCGGCCCCGCGGGAGAGAAGACGCATGTGGGGTCTGCACTGTGTGCAGCGGTGTAGTGAGTGCACGTTGCCTGTTTGCAAGATGAGTCCTCTCTCTACCGGTATCCATGTTGCCTTATCGGATACCAAGCCCTGCAGATGTCACACGCATCACTAACACGAGACATCAAACGTGAGAAGAGCCCTGGCCCGTGGCTCAGTGTTTAGAGCAACAGCCCAGGCACCGAAGGGTCTTGGGTTCAATTCCCAGTAAAGAGCAGGCACCTGGGTTGCAGGTTCGACCCCAGGCCCTGGCCAGGGCGTGCGCAGGAGGCAACCAATCAACGTGTCTCTCCCACATCAACATTTCTCTCTGTGTGTCTCTCCCTCTCCCTTCCACTATCTCTAAAAAAACCAATGGAAAACTACCCTCGGGTGAGGATTAATAACAACATTATATATATATATACTGCCGAGCCCTCCCACCCAGAACACGGCTTGGGTCAGTCTTAAAAAATGTTTGCAGGGGTCACCAGCCCTGCCTCTGCTGGGACTTTCGCCTCCGGAACTGGGAGAGACTAGATGTCTGTTGTCTAAACCAGCGGTCGCCAACCTTTCCGGCCTCGCGGACCACCGGGGTTCGCGGACCACCGGTTGGCAACCGCTGGTCTAAGCCACTGGTTGTGAGCTTTGCTCTGACGGCCCCAGAAAGGCGGAGGGACCGAGACAGCGGGGGTGGCTGGGCTGGAGCTGTGGGGGGGGGACCCCCGTTCCTGCCGGACGAGCACGATGGCACCTGGTTTGCTCATGGGGCCCCCGGAATCAGAGCCCCCCACCCAGAACACACTCACCTGGGTCTCCAGTTCTGTCACCTCCAAATTCAGCTTGTTCAGGTGCTTGTTCACGAAGGTGATGAGAGACTGCAGGGGCAAAGGGGCAAGGGCTGAGACCAGCTCCCCCCGAGACAAAGGGACAGGGGCTGAGACCAGCTCCACCCGAGACAAAGGGACAGGGGCTGAGACCAGCTCCACCCGAGACAAAGGGACAGGGGCTGAGACCAGCTCCCCCCGGGAAAGGGACAGGGGCCTGAGACCAGCTCCCCCGAGACAAAGGGACCAGCTCCCCCCGAGACAAAGGGACAGGGGCTGAGACCAGCTCCCCCCGAGACAAAGGGACAGGGGCTGAGACCAGCTCCCCCCGAGACAAAGGGACAGGGGCTGAGACCAGCTCCCCCCGAGACAAAGGGACAGGGGCTGAGACCAGCTCCCCCTGAGACAAAGGGACAGGGGCCTGAGACAAGCTCCCCCGAGACAAAGGGACAGGGGTAGAGAGATCAGCCCCCCTGAGACAAAGGGACAGGGGCCTGAGACAAGCTACCCCTGAGACAAAGGGACAGGGGCTGAGACCAGCTCCCACCCGGGGTCGATGGGACGCGTCCAGACCTAGCTTTGGGAAACACCTCCCGAATCGCCTCTATTTACTGAGATAAAAAGCTGGTGTTTAGAACGAAATGTTCTTACAATAACTCCTGGTTTAAACGAGACTGCGCCCCAAACTCTCCCAGCTGAAGGAACCGCATCCTGATCACCGAGCCACGTGCACGCGCCCACCCAGGCCCCGCAGGACCCCAGCAGGGAGGTCACTGAACTTTTAAATGTGCCCTGGGCGCCACCTGGACCATGAAAGATGGAAAGCAGGCTGCCTGGGCCGCAGCCTCCCAGCTTCAGTAAACAGGTCCGCGGGCGTGGTCCCGGGGGGCGGGCGTTTGTGCACCTCTCTCTCTCTCCCTTCCTCAGCCCTGACACCCAGCTTTCCTGGAACTCAATCCCGCCCCGCCCACCCTACCCCTGGACGAGAGGTCCTTTCCACATTCTGCTCGGTTTTACGGAGCAGCCACCACGTGCCACCCTCTGCTGGGTGCTGGGGCCACGGGCCAGCAGGCCAGAGCCCACCCGGAGACCTGTGACATGATCCTCCATGCACACACCCAGCGACGGGGACGGAGAAATCGAGAAACACGGCCAAGGAGGGGAAGGAGACGGGAGGCTGGTGAGGGGCTCACGGGAGAGGCGCGTGGCTCCCGCCCTGGAGGTGGGGGCAGAGAGGGGCTCTGCGCTGGGCCGGGGGGTAGGGGGTGGGGGCGTTCAGGAGGGGAAGGGTAGGCAGAACAGCCCGGCCACAAAGATGAGTGCGAACCTTTGGGACCTTCAGGCCGCGGCCGGATGTGGGTGGATGGGACAGAGTAGGAGGGGTGACTGGAAAGACCTGGACGGAGGTCAGGGTCCCCTGCAGTTAAGTCTGGGGTACAGGGAACCCCTCACAGCAGCTCAGTGTGGGGGCTGGAAGCGGGAAGCTGTCGGGCAATGGAAGGACTTTGTCTTGTTTGATGCTAAGCAGCCTGCGCCCAAGATGTCCTCTCGCAGGACGAGTTAGGATCATTTCTCCTGGAAGACTGAAGCTAAGCTTACCTAGGCCGCCGCCGGTCAGCACTACCTAGTGACCCAGTGCCGCGTGCCGGACATGGGCACACTTTACCCTCACGGCACCCCTGCGAGGTGCCA